ATGGAATTTTTTCATTATTCAGGAAAAAAACTCATGAAATAATATGGAATCCAATATGGAAAAGAAAAAATAATTAAAAAAAAGATGAAGCTAACTATCGACCAATTTCTATACTGCCAATATTTTGTAAAATTTTTGAAAAATTAGTTGCCATACAACTCTCAAATTTTATTAATAAGTATTAACTAATTCTAAAACAATAATTTGACTTCAGGAAATTCTCGGGAGTTGAAACTGCTAGAAACTTATGGTATAAAACAATTGATGATAGTAAATACATAGATACTTTGTTAATAGACCTATCAAAGCATTTCATAATGAATCACATCGAGAAATTTTAAATGAATTGTCTAAAATGGGAATAGGACTCAGCAGGAAAATGGTTCACCAACTATATAGAAAATAGAATGCAAAGAGTTAAAAATGGTAAAAAATATAGTTCGTGGAAGGCAATTACTATGAGTGCTCCACTGAAATAAGCCTAGAATTATTCAATTTTTAAACAAGACTCTTGTATAAGAATTTTTTTTTATAATATTATAATTTTATAAATTATTTCTTGTATAAGAATTGGGAGTTCTCTAGTCAAGAGAACTCTTAACTTATTTGCATTCAGAAATATATCACTTTGCTGATGATATAACTGCATCTGAAGCCGATCAATCACATCTTGCAAATGCAGAAAAACTGAAAAAATCATTCCAGGAAATTATAAAAAACTGTGAAAAAATGAAATTGGCTATTAACACAAACAAAACCCTATTAATAATATTCAAACCTACAAAGCAAGTCTACCTAAAAATTAAAAAAATTAGCTTATAATGGAATGATGCTCAGTCATAAGAAATTAGTTAGTTTACTTTACATTTCACTACCTAACATCCACCTAAAAAAGTTCAATGTCAAAGACAAGCTGCAAAAATCATTTGCCATGCACCAAGAAACTTACATGTATCTGCTAGTGCTTAGAAACTTACATGTAACATACATGTACATGCTAATGCCAAGAATTGATTAAATCAATTAAGGAAAATTCCATCCTACTTAAATGAACTTATCCTAGTTAACAATGATGGTTTATTAAAAATAACAGTATCGAGAAATACACATACTATATGTATTTTACTATATGGTATAGTAAAATAAGATTTCGTATCTCAGGAACCATTTTGTACAATAAAGAATTATGAAAGCAGGAAGTTTAAGAAAAAAATACAAAAATACAAAAAAAATAGAAATTCAAATTTAAAAAAAAAATAATAATGATAATAATAATAATTTAGTAAAAGTTTAACCTTCGAGCTGCAGAAGAAAGATCTGGTTTTTCATTAAACTAAAGTTTAATGAAGCTAAATTATAAAGAAGTACAAGAAAAAAAACAAAACAACAACAACAAGCAAAAGAAAAACAAAAAGAAAAAAGATGATTGGTAAGAATAAATAATCTTCTGGTATGTTATTATCATTTTATTCTATAATACAGTGGATATCAATAAAAATAATAAATAGAAGTAATAAATAGAGTTAGCCTCACCATGTACTGATCCAATATTTTGTAAATCTGTAAGCAAATTTGTGCGGTGCATATTTTGTATCCATACACACAAAATTATTGTTACAAACAACAACTTATTAGATTATAATATAGCATAATTAAATTGCGGTGCGTTTGATAAAACCATAAAATGTATAATACTTGATATTTGCAGACAGAATTAGTATCATCAATAATTATTTTCTGTTTACTTATATATTTTGATCTGGTGATAGGCATTTGTGACTTAGTTTTGTATTATTATTTGTAAGTTAAACAAAGACTATGAAATCAGTGCTCTTAAAGTTTTTAACATTTTGTTTTTGATAACTGAATTTAAAATGGGACGTGATAATCGTTTAACAAATGAAGAATTAGCTGTAATTAAAGCATACAAAGATACAGGCTTATCTAATCGGGAAATTGCAAAGAAAATTAAAAGATCTCCAAATGTGGTTAATAATTACTTCAAGATGAGGGTAATTATGGAGCTTATAAGGGGAGCAATGGCAAACATAAAATTGATAATTAAATTAAACAAGTTATTGTATGTCGTGCTGCTGCTCAGCACATGGCTGCATCTCAAAACCGTGCTGATTTACAATTACCTGTAACTGTTCAATGTGTAAGGCAAATCTTAAGTGTAAATCAAAACCAAAATTTACTGATTGTCAAAAAGAAGCACAATTTGTAAAATAAGTCTTGGAAAGACTGGCATCAAGTTCTCTTTAGTGATGAAAAAAAGTTCGATCTAAATGGTCCTAATAGCTATCTATATTACTAGCATAATCTTCAAAAAGAGGAAGAAACTCGGATGAGTCGTAACTTTAGTGATGGAACTTAGTATAGTTTGGGGGCTTTTTCCTTTGCTGGAAAACTTCCACTGGCATGGATTTCAACAAAAATGAATTCGCAGGACTACATTGACTTTGCTTGAACATGGTGAAGAATTAATGGGTGAAAATTTCACTTTTCAACAAGACAGTGCTGCTATTTATAATTCAAAGCTTACAAAATTTTGGTTTAGAGAAATAAATATTCACGTAATGGAATGGCCCGCATGCAGTTCAGATTTTAACCCAATTGAAAATCTATGGCGATTACTTTCTAGAAAGGTTTATGAAAATGGTAAGCAATATGAATCCACATTGGTACTGAAAACTCCAATCAGAGAAGCTTGGAATGAAATATCTATAGAAACTATCCAAAATCTTGTGACTATCAAGCCTCATTTTTGAAGTCAATAAAAATTTAAGAAGCAATACTAAATATTAAATGAGCATAAAAACAAAATCTTTTCTGTATTTTCTCATATATAACATAAATAAGGCTGATTCTGTTTTCTCCACAAATTGATTACTTTGAATTTTTTTTTCCATTTGTAATAAATTAAAAATACCAATTTGTAAATTTTTAATCGTAGTAGAAGATAATAAGAAATAAAGTAGTTTTAATAATTGTTTCACTGCCATTTTTGTTAAATAAGAACAAAAAATAAAAGTGAGGCTAATTCTATTTTCTCCACTGTATACTATATAACATATAATAACAAATATATTTACAAAAACATATAAGCTAATTACATTTACTTTTAAACAAATATACTTTCTACAAAATCATATAAATTGATATGATTTTATAGAAGTTCAAAAGTGTTGATTTAGAAATAAACCTGAAATTATTCATTATATTTTAAGCATATTTTACAACACAGTACAAATATTACAATTCAGATATTTACCCCACCAAATTTATTTGGGTTTGTAAGTATTTGTAGTAAGATTCGATTTTGGTGGAGGTTGCCAGAAAAACATGCTAAATCAAAAAATTGATTATCATGAATTGTGCATTAAGTACTTGATTAAACATTTTGTCAGTTTTTAAAAATATTTGAAGAAGTTTTGTTTTTATTCCTACAACACTTGCTTTTTCACTGCTTATTTTGAAATGATCAGATCACATTTTTAACTCCTTGAAGATTACAAGTTAATATTTTACCATAGGTAACACAGTAAAATTAGTAAATATTATCTTAAACAACTTGAACTGGGTAATCTGAATGCCATCTTTGGCTGAATTTGTTTTTATATTTTGTTTTGCTTTGTATGCCATTTTAATTTAAAATGATTTATTTTGAATGCAAAAGTTTTTAAACGTAATAAGATAGAATTTGATTTAGGAATCAATAAAAAATAAAAGAGAAAAAAAAAAAATGTATATATATATATATATATATATATATATATATATATATATATATATATATATATATATATATATATATATATATATATATATATATATATATATTTCGGTGCTGATATAAAATAATTTTTTGTTATTATTTAAATCAACAATATTTGCATTCGATATTCATCCCTACTTGATTACCATCTAAGATAAAAAAAAAGTGTTTCAGATAAAAAAAGGAGCTCATAAATTATGTATGTTTAGGGAAATTCTGTAAGTGTTATTAAAAAAGTTTTCATAAAGTACATACTCAGGTATGGAAAGAGGAGTTACACAAAAACATAAAAATGCATACCAGGCCTGTTAAAGATATCAAGTATATATGCAGTTTGACTATCTCTTGTTTTCTTTCTTTCCTAAAACTTAATTTCTTTTTTTACCCTCGCAAAACTTTTGAGTTTTATGAGTTTAAAAATCAATAATATGTTATGTAACAGTAATATTGAATTAATTAAAGGTTCTTCTGATTTTGATGCTTTAAAAAATTTAAGCAAGTTAAACTACAAATTATTTATTAGAAAAATCACAGTATCCAATAGCTTGCCAAAAGTCTTGACTTCAACAAAATAAGTTTTATATTTTTATATTAAGTTATATATTAAACTAACAAGCTAGACAAGTTGTAAATAACATCCTAAATAGCTCAAAAAACATATATATTTTTAACAAAGCATCCCTGATTAACATTACTTTTTTCATCAATTTTATATTGATATGTTATATTTTTAGATATTTACTTGAAGCCTGTTTGATATTTTTATCAAATAGCTAATAAAATTCAAGTATATGTTATAAAAAGAAATACTTGAATTTTAAATCTGCCTATAGGACTTATCTAAAGATAAACTCTAAAGACAGCTTCTATTTCGCTAGGATAAGTCTTGTGAATCTTATTGGGACCAATAATCTGTTGAGCTTTTTTTTGCTGATGTCTGAGTTGTGTAACTTTTTTTTTGATTAACTGTTTTTCCCAAATTTAAACACAATAAATTAGGCTTCTAATTAAATCTTTGTATAAAATAACTTTACACTGCAATAGCTTTTAATATAACTGTAAAACATTTTTATCTTCATAGTTTACTCATAATTTACTTCATATTTTATTAGGTAACCTTAGGCCCAAAAACATTTTTTTCATTTTTTTATTACTATTGTTTTGTTTATTTTAATTTTTTGTTTTGAATATAAAAGTTTTGAATATAAAAAATATTATTTAGGATGTTCAATTCTCAAAATAACAACCGTGGTGGTTACAATGTTGGAAACATGATATATTATGAAGGATCACAACTTACGATTGAGTGGACAAATCAACATTCTTGTGGTGGACCAAATGCTAATTGTGATATCATTGTGCAATATATGTGCAGTAATAATCTGCGCGACGGCACTACAACAAGGTTTCATAATTTTTTTTATAATATTTTTTAAGTTCAGTAAAATTTTTTTGTTAAATTGTGTTTATTTTAGAAATTAACATTAGAAAATAGGTTTTGAGTTAGTTTAGCTTACCAAAGCAAATTATTTATCAAGAACATTTCAGTTTTTTTGTTTGTTTGCCACCATCTTTCTATTTTTATGCCTAATTTTAGGCATACAGTTCTGCATAATTTTTTTGTAATAAAAATATACTTTAATTAATGCATGTGTGTATTTACTGTAGAAGTCTTTTTAAACAAATAATTTTGCATAGAAGTATTGGCCTTCACTTTTTTTTTAAATTTGTCTTTAATAGTTATAGTAAAACATTTTCAGTTTACAAAGCATTTAAGTTTATGGCGTCATCGGATAGTTTTGACTAAGTTAAAAATGTAGTAAAACTTTAGGCTTTTCATTTCACAAAAATTAGCTTTTCACAAAAAAGATGATATTTTCTTAGCAAGTTATAATTGAAGTTTTTTAAAAGAGATTTTTGTTTTTTACTTATCAAAAAAAAAACCCTAAATAAAATTTAACTTTTACGACAATACCTATTTTTATTGACTTATTGGAAATATTGGATCAGATACACACTTTTTTTTAAGAAAAAATCTACTTGTCAGAACTTTATTTCACAAAAAACATATGTATGGCGTTTAAAATAATGTTTTTTTTACTAATAACTCATTAAGTAATTTGTTTCAGCAAGTTTAAATTTGTTTTAGCAAGTTTAAATAGCTCGGAACTTATTTTCCATATATATTTTTTTTCAAATATAACTACAGCAAAGGTTGTTGCATTTTATGATCCCATTAAAATATGCTCTGATTTATAACACAATGTTTTGAATTTAATATTTTATTAAAATGATTTAAAAATGACTTTTTTCAAAACATAAGTAACATAAGAACATATCAATAAAAATTGTTTTTTACAAACTTGTATTTACATAATAGCAAAACTATTATGTAAATACAAGTTTAAAAAACTATTATCAGCTAATTTAAAGTAAGAAAAGGTTTTGAAGAAAAATAGAATAAAATTATTGAAACAGAAAAACTTCTTTTTTGTTTTTGCTTCTTTAGAATAAATTGTGGATATTAAAAGCTTAATTTAAACTTATCAATTTCTAAGTCTTTTAATTTGATGTGTCTTTAAATAACTGGCTAGTTTCCAGCAGCCATAACCATTTTTCTGTAAGAAAAATGGTTATGGCTGCTGGTTCAGAGTCTTTTTATGGTTTCCGTATTGATGATTCCGTGATGCTGATGTTGATGGTTTCCAGTCTTATCTGTTGGGAATATATCAATTAGGACTTAGTGTTTTCTTGTGTTTTCACAATTAGAGATTATTAAAAAATTTTCTCAAATTATTTTTGCAATAATATTGTTTAATTTGTTCATATTAGAAATATTCAACTTTTCAAAAAATCACAACTTAAAATTCATAGAAAAAATGTTAAACCATAAAGCATACTTATGGAAAAGATCATATATTACTAACAGCATTGCACACAAAAAAACATACAATAAACATGCTAGTTAATGAAAGAAGCCATATTAACTTACCAAATGAGAGCTTAAGATAGTTCAAGAAAATAATACAAATAAACTTTTAAGTTATTGTAATATTAAACAATACAACTCTAAAAATAGCAATCATTTAATAGATAAAAGCAATAATAACAAGTTAAATTCTAATAATCTAGAAATTAGATATCTAATAAGCATTTAAAATTTCTGATGGATTTTTATTAATGAAATACTGCATAAAATAAAAAAAAAATTTGAAAGTGATTTTCTACTAGTTTATTACTGTTTTTTTAAGAACATTTTTTAAGAACATTGACCACTCTTTATATCTTAGAAGACTGACCACTATTTATTTTTAAGAACACTGACCACTCTTTGTTTTTAAAAACATCGACCACTCTTTATAAAGTATATATGCAATATATACATGTAAAAAATATTTTTAACATTATTACAAATATTATTTTTTTTATCTATATATTTTATTTACATATTAAAAATATTATTTACATCTATATATTGTATTTACATATTAAAAATATTATTTGCATCTATATATTGTATTTTACTAAAAACATGCTCTAGTTTAATAAACTCTAAATGACCTAATTTTTTCTGGAATTAATTTGATAGAATAATTCTGAGATTATTTTGAAAATTTGCAGGAAAACATTGCTTTCTTAAAGTTTTAAATTTATTATTAATTTTTTTTAGCACAATTCCTGATTGGTTTCCTAATGATTGTGCAAACAATGATTGTACCACTGATAGATCAAAGTAAGAAGTTTATGACCTTTTTTTTTTTTGTCTTTTTTAAGTTATTGTAAAAGTTTTTAATTTTTTAATTGTTAAATTAGTAAAATTGTTTTTCAAACCATTGAATCGATCTCAGAGCTTCTCGCTTACAAATCATTACCACATACTTTATAAATTAAAATAGTAAAACACTACTGCCACTACACCATTACCACATACTTTATAAATTAAAATAGCAAAACACTACTGCCACTACACCATTACCACAAACTTTATAAATTAAAATAGTAAAACACTACTGCCACTACACCATTACCACATACTTTATAAATTAAAATAGCAAAACACTACTGCCACTACACCATTACCACATACTTTATAAATTAAAATAGCAAAACACTACTGCCACTACACCATTACCACATACTTTATAAATTAAAATAGCAAAACAGTTTTAATTTAAAAAATGTGCAGTAAGCAGTAAACTGATGTTGTGAACTCTTTGAAAAGGTATTTCATATTATTTAGGTTATGTTTTTTGTTCTATTGTGAACAGTAAATTAAAAAAAAGAAAAAAAGCCATCACTAAAGTATTCACAACATTTTTCAACTTTTTCATTTAGCACCTGCTCCAAGACTTCTGTCTTTTAACTGTTTCAATTACTAAAGAAGTCTTCTATTTCTGACTCTTTTTTTTTTAAATCCTAGCTGATAAAAATGATCCTTTATGACAGTATTGATAAAATTTATTACTTCATTTTAACAAAGTTCTTGTACAAAGTTTAGATTTTTAAAAAAATCTAATTTTGACTCTAAAACTTTGTACAAGATTCTAAAACTTGTTTTGACTTGAAAAACTTTGTTCAGATTCTTTAAAAATTTTTTTTAAAAGAATCTGAAATTAATTCAACCAGAAAAAAAAGCTTCAAAAATATGAAACTAATTTGTTGTTTGGTTGTTGTAATTAATTGGGTATGTAAATTTGAGAGGGTAAATTCTCACTCATAGTAATAGTTAAGATTATTATTGACTCATAGCAATATTATTATTAATATTATTGACTCATAGCAATATTATTATTAATATTATTGACTCATAGCAATATTATTATTAATATTATTGACTCATAGCAATATTATTATTAATATTATTGACTCATAGCAATATTATTATTAATATTATTGACTCATAGCAATATTATTATTAATATTATTGACTCATAGCAATATTATTATTAATATTATTGACTCATAGCAATTTAGATTATTGGCTCATAGCTATTTAAGAGTACAGGAATCAGTTTAATAAATGACAGCTTTCTAAACGATGGATTCTCAGATTTCAATTTTATATATCAAGTCTCCTTCATAAATATTATGAAATAATTGATAATTTGTTAATTAATAGTTTACTTTGTTGTTCATTTGCAAAAGTTGGACTTAAAACCAGTACAACTATAACTCAAAATTGTATTTAAATAATATTACTCAAAACCATTACTCAAAATAGTATTTAAAATGAATTTAAATAAAAAGAGGTTAAGTAAAAATAGAGGAAAGTGGATATTGATAACAATGTAATTCTTTTGAGGACACTTAAATCATTGCAATTTTTGCTGACATATCCATCACACAGCCTAATTTCTCAAGGATTTTTTTGTTTTTTAACTCATTTAAAAGGGTCCCAATTTTTTAAAAAAATTTCTAAACAGTCGAAACAATTTGTGTTCATATTTAAGTGAATGTTAGAAAAAAAATGTTTGGGCTGAATTTTTTAGATTAAAACAAAAAAATAAAAAAAACTAAGAAATACCAACTTTGTAGTTTTAGTCGAAGCTCACCTTCTCCATTTTAGTGTGATTTTTAAGTCCTTAAAATATGTGTTATTTTTTGACGCAACTTACAGGCTTTAAAATTTATTCAAGCATGTTGATTTTGTAAGAGTTTCAGTATATAAAATGACATCATTGAAGTATTTCTTTTTCGCATACAGTTAGCAAATCACTTTTAATAATATATTAGAGTAGTGTTGGATGTTTTGGACCTCTTTCTAATATTAATATTTGATTTGAAATTAGTTTTATGATTTTAACTATTATTGTTTATTTATAGTTATGTTTATTATTTATTTTTATTTTTAAATATTTCATAGAATAAATACATCAATGCACATAAATATATAGCTGTAGATATAGCTGCAGTTGCAATGGAGTGTACATACATCAAATAAGAGATAAGCAAATAAGAGAAAAGCAAAACGTTTTGGCATTCTTTTAAATAAAAGATATTTCAATATTTATTTAATTAAGATTCATAAATTAATTTGTATAAAAAACTGATAAATTAAATTACACAAAATTTTTAGGCGAAATAATTAAAATACTTAATAAGTTTTATTTTTAACTAAATTTGTACAAATTATTTGTACATATTTAGTTAAAAAATTATTTGGATGCGTGTAAAAATAGTGCCTACCTTTGTTAAAATATAAACTCATGTGGGCAGTATTAAAAAAATTATAATAATATAAGTAAAAGTAACACATATTTTACAAAATAAATTTTATTTAATATATTCTCGCACCACCAAATAAGAATTTCAAAAATATATGTATGTGATTATACAAAACAATTTTTTAAATAGAAACTTGATAAAGATAATAATCATTCAATAACATTTAATATAACACAAAACCTATTTATAGCAATAAACAAGCTAAAAATAATGGAAATATTTTATTCATTTTTTTAATGCAAGTTTTGCAAAAATTAGAAAACAAAATAACTAAACAAATTGCTTTGTAATGAATGAATGAAATTAAGAAAAAACATTAAAGAGTTTCTAGGTTTCTTATCTAAATTTTACAAAACATTGTATACTGAAATTCTTACAAATTAAACGAGCTTAATAAAATGTAAAGTCTGTAAATTATGTCAAAAAAAGCGCATATATTTTAAAGACTTAAAAGTTACGCTAAAAGGCAAGCTTTGACTACAAAATTAGTTTTTTTTGATATGCATTTACTATTTTGTTTTAATCTAAAAAAAATCTAGCCCAAACATTATTTTCAACTATTCTCTATAATATGAACACAACTTGTCTCAGCACTTTGGGATCCATTTAACTGACAGGATAATTTTAGGAAATCATTACTCTATATCTACACCTAAATGTCTACTATGATATTTTCTTATTGTTTTTAATGTCTGCTTTGTTTTAACTATGATTTTTATTGTTTTAAATTTGAGTGATAATTAGGTAAGTTTTACAGGTGATAGTTATGCAAAATTTTAATTATTATATCAATTAAAGTATGTTAAAAGATTTTTATTTTTGGTAATCAGAGGAATTCCAAATAACTAATGTTCAGAGAAAAAAACTAGACAATTAAGAATTTTTAGAGCACTTAGGAACAGACACAGTAAAAGTATGAGACCTAATTGAATGATGAGTAACATGAGAATGAATTTTTGTTGGTGATACAAAAGATGCTAGCTCTTTAAAGCAGTGCCCATTATAGTATATAGTATTTATTATAGAATGAGAAAGAAAAGCAACATTATGATGATGTGACAATGGTTAAAGGTTGGCTGCAAGAGCAGGCCTAACTATTTTTTTGTATTGGGTTTTTGCATCTTGTCTCAAAGAGAAAGGGCATCATTCAAAGATTTACCCCAGATATAACAACAATATTCCATACAAGGACAGATTTGAGATTTATAGAGATAAAGAATAGAATCTGAATTAGGGAAGTTTAGCAGATGATAATTTTGCAATGGATTTGATATATGGTTTTTAAGAAAGATGGGAAGTAAGAGTTAATTCTAGAAGACGAAGGGTAGATGACTCATCAACTACATTACCGTTCATAAATATAGGAAGATCTAGATTTTTGTAACAATGATTAGCTGAAAAAAATTGAGTTTTATCTGAGTAGAAGTTCACCAGCCACTTAGAGCCCCATACTGTAGCAGAAGTGAGATCCTTTTCAAGCTCAAATGGTCCCTTCCAAGCAATCAGAGAGTGTTGGTTTCTTATCAAGATAAGAATAAATAGTAGTATTATCTGCAAACAATGCCACCTTAGATGTGAGGAAGTCTGGGAGATTGTTAATTAAGTTAAAAAAGTATAGAGCCGAGGGTAGAACCTTGAGGAATCTCTGAAGTTACAGGAAATGAAGAAGAGTGCAGACAAATTTTATACTGTGATTGGTAATGAAGGATTCAATAGTCTTAAAGAAGTTACCTGATACACCGTAAGAAGAGAGCTTATTGAGAAGACAAGCATGCCAAACTTTATCAAAGGCTTTAGAAATATCTAGAGCGATAGCGTTAAACTCTTTACATCTGTTAGAATAAAATACATGAAATTTATTTATTTTTAAAGTTCTTTTAATTAAAATAATATGGTTATAGTACTTAAAAACACTATAATAAATAAATCTAAATTCAGGGACAGACTGGTTTGCCTTTTTTTTTAAACGATCAAGATTTTTATTTATTAAAATTTATTTTAATAAATAAATTTAAATTAAATTAAAATATATACCATGGCCTCAAAGGTATGGTATATATTTTAAGAGATAAGAAGTTAAGGTCAACATTTTAAAATAATTTATAGATTTTTTAATGTCAATCGTTATTTTTTAGAGAAAAGTGCATTAGAAAAAGAATGCAAATAAAAATAAAATGTATTTTTTAAATATAAATAAACATTTACCTCTTTAATGTGTCATATATTGTATATACTGTATATTAACTGCATTTTATTAGGCAGTATTTCTAAAACTTGGTTAGAAAATATGTTTTTTAAATTTAAGATCAAAATCAACCATATGTTCTGGTTGAATTATAATTAAGTTAATTTTTAGTTGTAAAAATTAGGTTTCGTATAATTTTCTAGAAGTTCTTTTTTTTTCACAACAGCCTGAATAAAAAATGAAAAGCAAGTTTTTTTTGAGACTTAGCACTTGTTTATTGGATTTTTATAATTAAGTTTTGTTAATGCGTAGGTATGGCATGAATGAAGATTATGACTACTATTTAAGATGCATAAAAACAATGAGAAACAAAGGATTGTTAACAGCTGATCAGGTTTGTTATCTTTCTTAGTCTTTTTTTTTTTGCATGGTCACATGATTGTGTACTACTAGATTTTTAAATATAAAATAATATATAATAATAAAATAATTGTATTAAATTAAAAAAAAATTGTTTTATACTGGAAATAACCGAAATAAAAATATTAGTTATTACATTCGTTATATTATATTTATACTTAGTAAGTTATTTTAAAAGATAATTTTACAAAGTTACAATGGTCACACAAATTGTACAATTTCTATTAAATTTCACTCACAATGTATTTACGTTTATAATGTCTGTTATTCTTTTATCGTAACTTTTTTCAACAGTTAGCATTTTAATGTTGGACAAAAGTTATTTATTACAAATTAATGGCTTCCATATACAATTAGAGATATGCATGTATAATGCAATACTCGGATATATATGTTTTTAAATTCAAGATCAAACTTAACCGCTACATTATCACAGTTTGGTTAAATGAACTTTAAAAAAAAAGTGGTGTAGAGTGGTTGCTTTTTAAGCAAGAAGTTCCAATTTCAATCCCCACCACGTCTCTAATAATACTAATCTCAACTTCTATGTGAAACAGTCTTGTTAATCAAGGTTTTGGAGTCAATCAAGGCCTTGTTTTAAATAAAAAATGCCTAATGCATTAGATTAACACGATATTTGATATCATAAAATTCTCTTTTTTTTTTCTTTTTTTTTTTAAAGACAAACTTTTTTAAATTACTGCAATAATAATTACTGCAAAACGAACTTAATGTTATTTAATGGCTTTTTTATTATTATTATAAGGGAATGTTTACTTTCTTTTCTTTTTTTTTTAATAATAAATAATGATGCATTTTTAAAAATTTTTGATATTAATAAATTTCTTTAACTTCTCGACATTTGCATAAAATATGTTAAATTTTTGAATTTTTAAAATGATTACTTCTTAAATTTCTAATTGCAGCTTTGCAACTACAAATGATTTATTATTGAAAAAAAATCATTGAAAAATAAATTATTGAAAATTTAATGCAGCCGATTATTTAAAATTTAATTTTGAGTAAAAAGAAAATGTTTAGGAAAGAAACAACTGCGATAATAAAATGAATTAATTTTTTTTAAGAACAAATAAAATTTTAATATTGAATAATATTTAGTAATATTTTTAAATAAATTTGGCGTTTAAGTTTAACCCAAGCATTAAATGTAACTTTATTAAACTTAAATATATTTTTTAAATCAAAATTAAACTACATATTTTTTTATCAAAATAAAATTTTATATATTTTTTTATCAAAATAAAATTATATATTTTTATTAAATTAGTTTTAAATTAAATCATGTATTATTCATCAGAATTAAATTATGTTTTTATGATATTTGCTTCAAGCTTAAAAATTAATTATTACAATAAAATAAAAACAAAATAAAAATAAACTTTTAATTTTATTTGAGTTTTTTTCATTAGTAAATAGTGCTTATATCAAACAAAATTGTCATTCAAACTTTTGTAACAAATATTTTTACATAAACATCATTCATAAGTTAATGTAACTTTTATTAAAGTTTATTACTTTCTTTATTATACAGCTTATAGAATAATTTAGATTTTAAAAATTGATAAAAAGTTGCTTAACCAAAATTGCTTACTGCTTATGTAAAATCTCTTAAGGCGTACGTAAATCGCTCTACAAGTAATACTTCAAAACAAGGTCTAATATATATGTATTTATATGTATCTATCACTTGTATATATGTATTTTCTGATGAATCTTCATTGATGAAACACAGTGTTAAATGAAAAATTTTTGTTAAGTGATTTTCTACTTATTTATTGCTCTGTTCTTTTAAGAACATTGATGTATATACAAATACATATATATATATATATATATATATATATATATATATATATATATATATATATATATATATATACACACACACACACACACACACACACACACACACACACACACACACACACACACACACACACACACACACACACACACACACACATACACACATTAGGGTGGCCATTAAAACAGCTTTTTTTAAAAATGTATTTTACCCTCTTAATGTATTCTATATAATAAAATAATACTAAAACAAACAAAAAAATAAAACTTTTAGGGGTAGCTCAAGATCCATAAACATCAGATGGGTCCCTAGTTCTTCAAAATTATATCAAAAAGTATTCAAAAATATATTAGGTCTCAAAAGAAACGAAATTGTATGAAATTTTCAAAAATAATCGTTTTATTAAAAACATTGAGAAAAAAAAAAAATTAAGTTCATATACTTAATTTTCAGTTAAAAAATGTCATTTTCAAGGAAGTGAATTTTAAAATTAAAATTTTGTAATAAAATTATTATTATTTTTGAAAATTTTATATAATTTCCCTTCTTTTGAGACCCAACATGATATACTTTTAAAGAAAATTTTTTTAAAAATTATAGGTGCTTTATAGACATTGTCTTAATGACCTGATAATGAATTTTTTCAAGAACCGCAACGTTATTCTTAAGGTGACACGACTGTAACATTCAGAAATCAAATTATTTGAAGATTTAGATCTTGACTAAAAAAAGTTTTTTTAAATATAACTAGCATGCCATTTACATTTCATGTTGCTATTTCTACATAGTATCACATATTCAGGTCATGTGATATCAGGACCCTGAGATCTCCTTTGATTGTAGTGACTTAATAGCTCAACGAGGTCCAAGTGTTTCAATGAGGTCCAAGTGTTTCAATGAGGTATAAGTGTTTCAATCGTTTAGTATTTGAAGTACTTTTTTAATTATTTTCTCTTAACAACATTTATTATTTTTTATTATTTGTAATAATTTTCAATAGTTGTTACTGTTATTTATTTTTTGTTTTGTTGTTTATTAAATTTTGAAGTTAAAAGAATTTGTTTCCATTTTATAGGTAATTAAATGAGAAGTTTATGAGTTTTTTTACATGAATTAATGTAATAAATAGTAGATGAGTTTTTCAAACTCCTATTTTAATCTTTAGAATATCAATGACAACACATATTTTTGAATCTTAATAACAACACATGTTTTAGAATCTCAATAACAACACATGTTTTTGAATCTCAATGACAACACATGTTTTAGAATCTCAATGCCATCATATAATAGCTCTATATAGAATTATTCAATATTCTATATCATTGCTGCAAAACAAGACTTAATTCCGTTTTTGTTGTTCTGAGAAAAAGACATTTGAAGTTTTTAATTCATTACTGCGTTTGATCTTCTTAATTAAACCAAACTGTTTTTAAAATATTTATAGAAGATGTTATTATTTTTCATAATATAACAAATAAAAAATTAAAAAATTTAAGTTTATGAGAAGCAGCAATGCAAATGGGCTTAAGATAATCTTAAAACTATATAAAATATAACAAATTTCTAAAAATTAAATTGCCACTACAATACAAGACCATCTTAAGTCCATTTTGGCTGTTCTTAGAATAAGACATTTAAAGTTTTAAATTTAATAATGCTTTTGATTTTTTTGATTAAATCCAACTGTTTTCAGTTATTTATTATATATATAAGGTATTTTAAACCAAAATGTTTTTATTAAGTTAAACGATTTACTAATATTTGAGTTGTTTCTTAAATTTTAAGTTTTTTTAGTAAATTTATATTTAATTTAGTAACTTGTATCTTTTAAAATAGTAGCTATAAAATCTGAAAAATGTTATATTTAAGAAATTGAATGGAGATACTGCACAGTATACTCGTCAAAATAGCGGAGGTACTCGTTATGGATATGAGTGTCAAGAAGAAAGAGACTACTATCCCTATTGGAGGCCTACACCTTGGAAGGTTTGTTATTTTGATGTTATATATGTATATAATTTTTGTTTTTTGCTGCTGATTATTTATCACTCCTAAGATTCACTCCTCTTTTAGTTAAGATAAGAAAAAGGTGTTGTTGATTCTATTTTACAGAATCATTCATCATCAGTAATTATCAGTTTTAACATAAAATTCAGTTTTAAAGAAAATTGGTGCAAGGTACTACTACTAATGTTGCAGGTACAAATGGAATCGTAGCTTTACTACAAGAATTAAATTTTTTATGTTCTACTAGGTTTTGTGGCTTTTTTTTTAAGCTGTTAATACAAGCTTTTTATTTGTCTCAATTTTTATGCCATGTTTTTTGTTTTTAGCTGCATAAAAAATATTGAATTTAAACTTAAGAATAACAGAGTAGACTATGAAATTTGTTTTTTTGTGAACTGGAAAAATGAAAATTGACTTAGGTTTGAAATGCAACATAACAAAAGTTTAACAACTGAAAAGAATAAGAAGTAGCATAATAGTGAGATTTCACTCAGCAAAAGAATAAAAACAAAAGAATAAAAACAAACTAAGAATAAAAAAGATGTAAAAGATTTTATGTAAACAAACTAAAAAATTAATGATGTCAAGTCAAACCTAATGATGTCATGTACTTAAAGTCTTAGAAATTAAACGGGCTTGAATAAATTATCAATTCTGTAGATTGTGGCGTATATTATGCTGACTTTTTGGCCTACAACAAAACAGAAAAGGCAAGTTTTGACTAAAATAAAAAAGTTAGTTTTACTTGGTGTGTATTTATTTTTTTGTTTTAATCAAAAAAATTTAGCCTAAACATTTTTTTATCATTCTCTTTAATATGAACACAACATATCTCGGAGGTTTGGGATCCCTTTAATGATGTTGTGATTATTCTAAATTTCTCCATACTAATGTTCTATTCTATTGTTACTTAAATATTGCAACTTTGTACAAAGTGTAAAATTTTTAGTGTGTCTGTAAAATATTTTTTCAGCTGATCAAATGTCATCATATTTAAAACTATGAACAAATAAGTATTATTAGAATTCGCACTACTGTCCATTAAAAGAAATGTAAATGACCTTGATCACAGAATTGTGTTTGATGGTTTTGTTGGAATAATACCAAGGCAACTGATGTTTTGTTGAGAGTATAGGAACATGAGGTTATATGTAGTAGTGGTAAAGAGTTTACTTTGTAAATGAGGGGTTCGAACGCACTGGAAATATTGCACTTAAATTGTTATAACTTTACTGTTATAAATCATTTAGTTATTTAATTTATTATTTATTTATAAATTAAATGTCAGCTTCTGTGCAGTTTCTTTCATTTATTTTACATGTCATTTTAGCGTATGACCACTTGAGTATGCATGCATTTAAAAAATAAATTTTAAACTTCTGCATGTTACTTATCGGATATTTTAAACTTCATTTTATAGGATATTGTTGTGATGACAAATGATGAGAGCCGTTGTAAATTTTATAAGAGTGAAAGTGAGAATGTGAAATCAAGGTTCATTTGCCAGCCTCCAGATGGTTATATGGATGCCCTGAAAAATTGGAAAGCATGGACATACTTACCAATCACAAAAGAAAATTGTGAGGTACATAATTTAATACAAGATAAATTATTTTTTATAGTTAATTGTAGTTGCTTTTTAATTACTCAAATGTTTTTAAATTTTTATAGATGATGCATCAGTCTATACATTTTTATAGATGATGCAATAGTCTTAAAGTTTTTATAGATGATCAGCGCTCGAAATAGCAGCTGATCAACGATCAAAGATAGTCTACTTTTGGAAAAATTGACATTTTGATTGCCTAAAATTAAATCTGGCCGATCAAATTTAATCGGCAGAAGTTGGTAGTCAAACTTTTGTAATTATTAATACAAAAACATTTTAAATACAGAAAGTTAAAATTTAATTAGCATCAAAATTATTTTGAAATGAGTTATATTCTAAATAAAATAATGTAGGTAAAAACGGCAAAACAAACAACTTATTTAAATTCTGAATAAAATAATTTAAAAAAAAATGACAAAGTTTTATTATAATTCTAAATAAAATGAAAACGGCAAAACAAACCATTTGTTTATTTTCCATAATAAAATAAAATAAAAACGGCACATCAAAAATTAATTTATATTTTAAATAAAATAATTAGGATAAAAACGAAAAAACAAACATATTTATATTCTAAATAAAATATATATAAAAAAAACTGGCAAAGTTTTATTTTGATTCAAAATGAAATAATTAAAATAAAAACGGCAAAACAAACAATTTATTTCAATTTTAAATGAAATAATTAAAATAAAAACGGCAAAAGATTATTTTTTTAAATTCTAAATAAAATTTAAATGAACATTTTTTTGAACGAACATTTGCTTATATTCTGAATAAAATAACTAAAATAAATATGGCAAAACTAATGTTAATTTGAGTTCCAAACAAAATAATTAAAATAAAAACAGTAATGCTTTATTTATATTCAAATTAAAACAATTAAAAAGAAATACGGCAAAACTGGCAATATATATAAACTCTAAATAAATAAAAACAGCAATGTTTTATATATACTCAAAATAATACAAAAAGAAAAACGCAAAACCAAAGGTATACTTAAATTCTAAATAAAATTAATAAATTCAAAACGGCAAAATGAAAGATTTACTTAAATTCTAAAAAGAAAAAAGAAAATTATAATTAATTAAAAGTTATAAAATTATAACGGCAAAACAAAAATCAAGTGAGGTAGGATCAAAAAAAAGGCATTGTAAATTTTAGTAAAAATTTAATAAAAAACTGATCGTCTAAAAAACTATTTAATCGTCTGGTTTTTAATTTTCTTATTTCAGCCGATCAATGTTGATTAGCAACCTTTGAATAATTATTTCGAGCGCTGGATGATTCAACAGTCTTTAAATTTTAATGGATGATGCAACAGGCTTAGTTTTTCAATTTTCAATTTTGATGTTTGAAAAAGTATTTTATGTTATAAGAGTCATATTTAATTTTCGTTATGCAATTTACCAAAAAAATCTTTTTTTATTTGTATTTCTATAATCACACAAATTATGCTAATTAGGCTAAGTTTTTAGGAGTTTATTCAAAAAAATATATAATCTAAAATACCCTAAACAAAAAAAATATCTAAAATCCTAAAATACCCTACCTTCTAGATTTAAAAAAATATCAAAAAAAAATTATTTTACAAGATCACTCAATCTTTGCTTTTTTTAAAAAAAAAATTTCAAAATTTATCAAAACAGACAATATCACAATTCTAAGGGAAAGTTAAATGAAAAGATTTAGATTTTTAATCACTGATTATAATACATTAGTCAAGCAGCAAAATTAACTGTGGATGTTTTTTTAGTGACTTTTTATGTTTTTTTAAATCACACACTAGGATCAAAATCAAAATTGAATAAGGAGTTCTAACTTCTAACTTTTTATATTAATTACAATAAAATACTGCAATACTGTTGCCTAATGGCGCATCAAATCAACACTGTTTACTGCAGGTGCACCTGAAACATTTTAATTATTTATAAATTGTGAAAATGGTGCTCTTTGAAATTAATTCCTAAATAACGCATGCACTGATTTTATCTATAAACTGATATTGTATTGCATACTGTAAAGGTTTACATTCAATGAGGTTATGATAGTGAGTCTCTCATAAGTTTTATCCATACCTAGTTGCCACGTTCTTTGTACTTCAAATTTTCTCTTTCCATCACTATCAAACTTAGAACAATTGATTGGCAAGCTTTACATTTTTTAATCATTTGTTTCACTTTTTCCATACTTACTGATGGGTTGTTTTTTTGAATAAAATACATTACTCATTTTTTACCATAACATCCTGTGGATCAATTTGGCATGTAATCTATTTTTTGTAGGATAGTGAAGCTTATTCCACTTGCTGCAATTTTAGAGATCTTATCAACCATTTTTAGCCAACTTGGAAGTAGTCAAGTAAGTGCTTTATTTAAATTAGGCTATGAGGCCACAATTTTAATATTTATCCTGAGTTGATACTTAACCCCAATTTTCTACTTTTGAGTCAGTGTAAAATATCATTTTCTGATTAATGGCTTAAAATGATAGAGTTAATAACTCCATGATGCCACAAATAAATGTATCTGGACCACTGCTACATTTACCTGGACAATAATGAATATCATACGAATATGGAAACAAGGTTATTCTCCAGCACATTATCTTATCATTCTTTATTTTACTGTATGATTTATAATCATACATAAATGCCACAGAGATTTATAATCATATAAAAATGGTCTGTGATAAAAGTTTCATTTTTATCACAGGCCCAGAAGAAAATGTTACCAATGATTTATGGCTTCAACTATTTCTTTTTTATTGATGAATAGTATTTTTAACTTCCTTGAAGAGTATTTGATGAAAGACATCAAGCCTTCCATATTCTTAGTTCTGATTTTGCCATATCAGCCACCATTATTTATAGGTAATGGTGGCTGATATGGCAAAATCAGAAGTATGAATCTTTATAGTAAAAGGAATATTTTTATAAATGGTTTGCATTGAAGATTGAACAAGCTCATTTTTAAGTTGGAATTGTTGTTAAGTAGAAATTGGGTAACACAATTCTATGGTCGATTTTTATCTGAAAATTTTTAGATTCATTTTGTGTAGCATGAAAACATTTCAATAATCTGTTGCAGAGACTTAGCATTATCAGCTGGAGGTAACTTACAAGGGGTAAGCTGCTGTGGATCAGATTTTTCAAGAGCCATTTGATATACGGTAAATCAAAAAATCTAATATGTCAGTTAAAAATACACACTTCTCATTAAATGTATTCCAGCATCTATGGTAGCTATTATGAGTTTACACAAGTTTTCATTATGTTCTTTCTTTTCTTTCTAATACCACTTACATTAATGTTATCAATGAATAGAAAACAGTCAGTTAGTTAACAAAATGTCTTTAGTAGTTACCGTAGGCCTTGACAAAGTTTTATATTTTGCATTGAAAACATGCTGATCCATTAGTAATTCCAAAGACATTCTAGTGTATTATTACAGTTTATAGTCAGCTTCAAAAGCAGCATATGGCCTGTTACTTTTAGACATAGGTACTTGATAGTAAGCAAAACGAAAGGCTAGATTACTATAAATTTTGTATTATAAAATCATGCTCTAGATCACTTCAATCTTAGATGAAGGATAGGCATCTAACTTGGTACGGTCATTAATAGTTTCAGAATAATTGACTACCATACAATCTTAAGTCTTTTCATCTACTCTTAATACTTGAGCACACCAAGGTGAGTTACATGGCTCTATTATTTCTCTTTCAACCAAACTGTGGGTTTCAGATTTAATAAATTTTCTATCTCTTTAAGAAAAATGTAGAGATCTAGTGGCAATATGTAGACAATTTTTTGTGAGATTAGCAAACAATTTGAGAGGCTCAGTTTTCATTGTTTTAAGAGCTGATAAGGTTATAGGTGGTCATTTTCCATTATGTTTAATACTTTCATGCACTTCTTGAAAATCTGTACTAAGAATGTCTATACATAAGTTATCTAGCACGTGCAGTTTGACTTTTACTAGTTTATTATTAATAAGTCTTTCTAATAAGTTATTACTAATAAGTAATAAGTTCACTCACAGTCTTAAGTAATAAGGTCTTTAGCTTATTAAGGAATTGGTCTTTTGATTCACCAGTTTTCTGGTGAATTGGCCTATGCTAAGTCTATCAGGTTTCATAAATCTTTCTATCCTTTTTTCTTATTTCTTTATAATAATAATTTTAGCTCTTTTGATTATTATGAACACCTATTTTGACTAAAAAGAGCTATAATTGTATTAGTCTGTATAAGAAAGAAAAAGTCATGCATAACACAATGAAAAAGTCATGCATAACACAATATAATTTATGAATACATAATGTAAACATTGTGTATTCATAAATTATATATCAAGATAAATCAAGATAACATTTATGTGAACTATATCTGTGTTTCAATGTAGGATATAGTGACCAAAAACAATTCGCAATTTGGTAATGATGATTATGCTTTGCAACATTTTGAACATTAATTCAGATATTTTTAATTGTTTTAACATTCAGCTCTTTCATAATTATAAATGAGTTAATATTTTCATAATTGTTGTTAATTTGTTATACAGAAGGTACCTACTTGCACTGAGACTAGGTCTGAATATTTTATTTAAGCTGAAGTTATATAGTTTAACTCTGATATGAAATCTATACTTTAGTGTAATAAAGGTGATGGCAGTTTCTACTAATTTTTAACAATAATACTAATAAAATACTCAGTGTTTATATTCCATCCAATTGCAAGAAAAATATTTAATTAAGAAAATGGAATTATGGTAATTGTTGAACAAATTTTTAATTTATAAATGTTTTAGTACTTGGTTATATATAAACGGTTAAAAATGTTTGAGAACTTTTCTACTAAATGGCTCCACAAAAGTGTGTATTAATTATAATATTTTTAATTATTTTATTGTATTTTAGTTAAATTTAAAAAGTTTAAACAATTATAAAACTGATAATAAACTATTATATTATTAGATTTTAGTTTTTTTATCCATTTTCAGAATACTTTATCATTAACCATATATTTTTTTATTTAAATTTTTACTAATAATGCTAATGATTTTTTTTTTAATAAAAAGTTATTGAAACAGTAAATTAAATTAAAATTTTTTTTTTTATAACTTAATGATATTTTAAAAATGTTTTTTTTGGGAATAGAAAATGATGGACATTTAAACTATTTCGGTGAAACAGTTTTTTTTTTTTTTTTAATTTTAATTCACCTCCTCAAGGCCGAGAAGGCCACTACAGACGAGGAGGCTACTTATTTGTGGCTATAACCCTCTCTCAACTCTATAATTCTGAAACACAAACCTTGATGAACAAGGTCGCTGCGCGGAGAAACAAGTTGAGCGCGGTACTACCAGGGATGTGGTGGGGATCGAACTCAGAACCACTCGTTTATGAAGCGAGCGCTCTACCACTACACCACTACTGCATTTAATTTAGTTATTTATGTAAGATAGTATCTCACTTTTTTTTCCATACTTTTTAGAAACTAGAGTGGCCACAGGGTTCTGGAAATTTTGCAAAATGGATAGAAATAAAAAGTAAAAATATAGACCCGCCAGATTGCATTCAATCACCTATGTCTCGAGATAATCATAATGGAAATGGACCTGGAGGATTTGCTAACACATACAATTGGACAATACCAAAAGATATTAGTGAGAATTGTGCTCTTCGTCTGCGCTATAATATTTCAACTGGTGATTTGTCAAACTACAACACCAGTAAGTATTTGTAAAACTAAAAAAAAAGTATTTTTTTACATCAATTTTATATTTTATATTTTACTTTTTTATTTAAATATTATTTTCTAAATATTTTTACTGTTACTAAAAATTATATTATAGTTTGTTGCGAGTCTGATATTACTGTGATGTTATAAATTACATCAAATTTCATTTATAATGTAGCTTTAATAAACTATGTTTTCCTCGTCAAAACAGTAGTTAAATGTTCAGATTAAACTATATTTTCCTCATCAAAACAGTAGTTAAATGTTCAGATTAAACTATGTTTTCCTCGTCAAAACAGTAGTTAAATGTTCAGATAAAACTATGTTTTCCTCGTCAAAACAGTAGTTGAATGTTCAGATTAAACTATGTTTTCCTCATCAAAACAGTAGTTAAATGTTCAGATTAAACTATTTTTTGGATTTTGGTTAAATTTTCTCAAAATTATTAAAAATATTTTTTAATTTCCAAAAAATACACTAATACAAAGTATTTTTATATTTATATAATTAATTAAAAGCACTAGAGGCCTTTCAAAAAAATATTATTACTGCTGTTTTGGTATTTTTGCAAGATTTTTGTATTGAAAACAAAAATAATTTAAATTGCATATTGTTTCTATGAGCAACCATTGTGATGGATTAAATTCTAATAATACACAGAAAATATCAATTAAAAGTATCATGTTTGTGCAGATACTTTTCATTTGATAACAAAAAACTTTCATTGTTAAGCTCAAGGAAGACAAAAAGTTGGAAAAAAGGTTCAATTACACTTTGGTGCAAACGTTGACAGGTATAAACATGGTTGTCACATCTATCAGTTGATAGTTCAGTTCTGCAACTAAAAATATTAATAAAAATCTTACATTTTAAATCTTACCTTATAATATGTGGCTTGTTTTTTGCATGCCAAACATTCAAGGTAATAAATTGCATTTTTGCTGTTGCATGTAGGGGAGACCGGGGCTAGTTGGCTCGGTTTTTACTCTATGAGCTCTGTAGCCCTAATAGCACACTTTTTTGAAAATATTAAAGTGTAGTCTCAAAGCGTATGAACTTGGGTAACTTATAAAAGTTTCATGGATTTACAAAAAAAAATTCTTGGGGCCTTACGGGGCCCTCAAAAAAAAAAAAAAAATTGCGCCAACTTACCCCACCACGGGGTAAGTTGACGCAAACTATAAACGTGATTATTAATGTACTATTAAGTGCAAAATTAATAGAAATTTTTTACCTATTAATTTTGGCAACAATTTAAGCTAATAATTTGATATTATTTTTAGCTTGTGCTAAATATTAGTACGTATAACAGCCAAAACAGCAGCCCTCTTTTTACCTGTTACAAAAAACCTAAAAAAAAAAATTTTTATAATTTTTTTGTAAGAATAAGTTTTTTCAATATTGTTAAAAATTAAAAAAATTAAAAAAATTATTTTTATAAAAATAAATATTTTTCTCCATAGTAAATGCTATGAGCCAACTTACCCCGTAAAAATTTTGTCAACTTACCCCGAAGGCTTTTTTTTCAATAAACAGTCTATAGATCCTGAAAAACGGCAACTTTTAAAAAAAGTCAAACTGAATATAGTAAACCAATTGTGGCTAGAACTTTTACAATAATTTTTTTTCCATTTGACTAACTATTTTCTTTGTAAAGTAAAAAGGAAGCGATGTTTCAAAAGTTATGTTTTTGTCCAAAAAACACTTAAATCTTAATATCTCCCATGCGCATGCGCGAATCCTGACAATACTACATTGAATGATGAAACAGTCAATTAGGAAGATTCTGTGTAATTTTTATCACTTTCTGATGAAAGGCTTTAAAGATAAACGCAATTCGTCAACTTACCCCTGCGGCCAACTAGCCCCGGTCTCCCCTAATGTAACTTTTTATTTTCCAAATTGTACTATTAGATGTTTTAAACTTGTCTACTGCTTAAAGGTAGAGTTTGCATATTTCACATAGAATGTCTTTGCATTTAAATATTTATATATAAAATTTTTTTAAATTAACTAAATTATAAACTTTTTTTTCCATAACTTTAAAAGGTAGACAATATGTGTGTGTAAACTTCTTTTTATATATATATATTTATATATAAAGAAGTTTAATTTTTCCTGAGCCATTCTTTCTCAATTAATAACTATAACTACTGTCCCGGAATAATGGGTGTAGCTAACCTTATATATATATATATATATATATATTTACACATTTTTTTTTACATATATACATTTTTCAAAGAAATTGTAATATATATATATATATATATATATATATATATATATATGTCTATATATATATATATATATATATATATATATATATATATATATATATATATATATATATTAATTTTTCAAAGAAATTGTTTTTAACTTTAAGGTGGAGTACAAGTTGCTAGTGTATGTGAATGGAGCACTCTTACTCTTAATACTAATGGTCTTGGAACAATAAAAATATTAGAGGCAAACTATGGTCGAACCTCAGCAACTCAATGTGGCAGCAGCCCCAGTTATAACACAAAATGTAACAATCAACAAAAGTCACTCCAAATTGTTAAAAGTCTCTGTGAATCTCAAACTTCTTGTTCTATTACTGCTTCAAATAATGTATTTGGTGATCCATGTGTTGGAACATACAAATATCTTGAAGTGAAATATACTAGTAAATTCCAATACTTAGTTACCATTACATATATATTATATAATATAGTTTTTGTTATGATATAATGTTATAAATATAATAAACTATTGCATAATATATAATATAATGTATTAAAATATTATATTATGATATATTTTTGTTACTAAAAAAAACTGTCAAAAATGTGCTTTCAATGTTTTCAATGGATAAATAGTTTCTTGGTTTTAACATTGTCCCTAAAAGCTTTTTAGGGACAATGGTTTGACGGCAAAGCTTTTTAATGGACAAAAGGTTTGTTTCACATTATTTGTTAGGCTTTACCAATGATGTATTGGCAATTTAATAGAGTTAAATAATAATTTTTTTTTATTTTTTTTAATTTAGAGGTTTGTTGTTGGATCATAAAGTAGGCTGAGGAGGCTATAAAATATCTCCTCTTTGATTGGAAATATTGAGAGGGTTTTTTAGACAACATTGCAGACTTGACAGTCTGCTGTAATATTTTACACTTAAACATTAAGTTAAAACCATAAAGTTAAAACCATAAAGTTAAAAAAGTTGTGGTATTAAAAACTAAAGAAATTTTGGGGTTTATCATTTTTGAACAAGTGTATCTTAATGAATTTCCAAATCTCAATAAAAGAGAAGTTGTTCAATTTTCCTCTAAAACTAAATTTTTTTCTGGATTTTTTTATCTCTGATATAAAGTTGAAAGTACATTTTTTAAATATGTTATCAAACTGCTTTTAAGTAAGTTTATTTAAAAAAAAAATAATTTGTTTCTATTTTCTTTTAAGCTACGATAGTAACAATCGGACCTTTAGTTGGACTATCAGACACTGAAGCCAATAATAGAGGATTTGTTTTTAAAAATAACCCTGTGGTCCAACCATTGAAAACAGGTAATCCTTCTTTGGATGCAAATCTACAGTTACGACTAGCTATTAACACTGCTCAATATGGTAGAACATTTCAAGATAGGTAATTATTATTATTACATTTCTTTCATAATTATATAAATGTGTTTTTGTATATATATGTGTATATATATATATATATATATATATATATATATATATATATATATATATATATATATATATATATATATATATATATATATATATATAAAGGCTCAGTTTAATTTTTTATAATGTCCCGGACAAAATGTCCGATCAAAACTTGTTTGGGTCGGACAGTGTCCGATCAAATTTTTAAAATATAGTGTTTACGTTTTTACGGAACTAAGTTATGCAATCGAAATCTTTATCATGTTATTAAGTTTATTTAACGTTAGTTATTTTAAATATTTTATCGCTAATTTTTGTTTTTTTTAAATAAAACAGTTCCAATTTAATATTGCATGTTTTTTTACATAGACTTGAACTTGCATGCTGTAACTGACAATGCTTTTTTTTTAATTATTCTTTACAACTTGACAACAGCTTTTTTGAAGTTTTAACTATTTAAATGCAATAAAAAAAAATTGTTACGTTACTAATAACTTTTAATCGTTGGTCTTTTTTAAAGTGTAAAAACTTTAAAAGGCTTTAAATAAAATCAAAACTTTTAAAAACTTTATCTAAAATCAAAAATTATAATTTAAAATAAAGGCATTATGCGTAAATTAAATGTTACATTTAGTTTTTTTTTAGTAGGTATGTATTTTTTATGATAAATTTAAACATTTGAAACTCTTTTTAAGATAGTTTCAAACATTTAAATTTTTCATAAAAGTCTTTCTAAAAATCTTTTATTAAAAGATTATTTTCAAGTTACTTTAAATTATGAATAAATTAAATCTTCCAAAGATTTAATTGCTTTTTTTGTTTTGTTTCTATTTTTACAAAGAATTGTTTAAAAGTTGTTTTTTTAAACTTGACTTTTAATCAAAGAATGAAATGGTTAAAAATTACAATTTTAAAAAGACAGCATTGTTTTTTTAAACAATTTTTTTTTTTTTGCAACTTTTAGAAAGTTGTTTAAACAACTTTAAAATGTTATATTTTTTTCTTTCCAATAATTTAATTTCACTTTTCAATAATTTAAATAAAATTTATTTATTTATTAAGCAATCAATAAAAAATTTGTAAAAGCGTTTTGCGTAACTTTAATAAAGATGTTGTTTGATTTTTCCATTTTTAAATTTGAGTGCAGTCAATTACTTTTCAAAAAGTCTTATGCTTCATTCTTGAGGTTCACTGTCTTACACACAACTACTATACACTGCTTTATACAATTATTGTATTAAGTATCCCAGATGAATTGGCTCACCATGTGAATCTTTACCTGAGCAGCTCTTTTGTAAATAACCTTGTTGTAAATTTGTACAAAATTTATGACTGGCGTGATTTGGATTTCAATGTCCTCATTAGAAAACTGGCATCTTATATTTGCTGCTCTGTGAGACGACAGTGTTTGCATAACTTAAGAAGCTGTATGCAAAACTTCTTTATGCATTCTTTAGCTCATTGACAGTGTTTTTTCATTATTAAAGGAATTCCCAAAGAATGTCTTGTTGCCTATAATAATTCTGAGAAGGTGGGTGTACATGGCCTGGATACAGTTACCTTTATATCCTTCTTTTGTTGTGATTAGTGGATGGTCTTAAGACTAGCAGGTTTGTCAATGTTATGCCTAACCTGGCTCATACTCTTAATTTGTAGTTTATAAAAATTTAAATATTTTACTACTTAGATCTTTGAAGTTTGCAGCAATTAGACTGATTTATTTCCAATTTTTCAGCAGTGGATTCCAAAAATTTTAGACATCTAATGATATATTTTTTCTAAGGTATGTAGCAATGATGAATAAATTATCACATTGTATTTTCTTGATATTGATTGAAACAAGACTAAGTTCTTTGTTCAGATTGTTCTTCTCAGTGTTTTCCATGTTCTTCTTCAAGTTTGACTATCTTATTGCTCACTGCTACAAAGGAGTGCTGCTACATTGACTATCCTATAGCCTGCTGCTACAAGAAAGTGCAGTTACATCGAATGAGGGTTTGGTTAAGGCAGGCAGATAATAATAAAAAATTCAAAAAAAAATTTTTAACTTTTTCCAGTCTTCAAAAACAATAAAAAAAAACAAAACATAAACTTGACATTTTATTGGAAAAATTAAAAATGACTAGGCAAGAGTGTGTGTATATAATTAGTAATATAATTCACAATTGATATTTGTGAATTTTTTTTATCAATAAACCAAAGAGTTCAAACCATGAAATTCCTTCACTATTTGTGCTATCTTAATCATATAGCATTAAAAAAAATATTAAGTTTTATCAATCTTTTTTTATTGGATTATTTTTGTTGCATTCTGATTTTTTTTTTTTTTTTAATTTTTTTTTTATATATATATATACTTTTTTATTACACATTTTGTTGCCAACCTAAGCAATGTATTTTTAACTTCAAGGGTTTGTAAAAAGTGTAAAAATAAATAAAACTATTAGTTATATTTTTTTATAAATATGTTTCCTTAATAATAAAATAATATTTTAAAATCAATTTACACACATTTTAACAAACAATTACTGTTTTCAATTGTGAGTCAAAAAAAAAGTGTTTATATTTTGTCATTCCTCCTTTCAACAAAATTACTTTAGTTATTCAGTCTAGTATACTTTTAAATACAGTCTATTGATGCTGTCTTAATTTTTTTCATTGTGATGTCAATAATTAATTATTCTTTCAATCAAATCCCTTTTGTTTGTTAAAACCGTGGAAGAGACCTTCTTGAGTTACACAAAAAATGTTAGTAAAATGGTACCACATATTAATTCCCGCTATTTATTGTAACTTTATAAAATGTATTAAAAATAATAAAACACTTTTCACTTGAAAAAAACTGTTAAAGTATAAAAAAAGATTTATGTGACAATTCAACCATGTTTTATTTAATATTGACGAAAATTCACATTGCTGACTTAAAACACACCTAACTTCACATTGGTCACGATTATAAAGAAATTTTTTTTTCCATTTTGTTTGATGGGTGTCAGTATTGTATAATGAGTTGGTAATGATAATATACCTTAAAATTACTTTAAAATAATTTGAGTATAAAATATGTTGAAAAAGGCAATCATAATATTGTGACCAGGGTCTGTAAGTATACTTTTTAACATTTCTTGTTTTTCTAAACTAAGAAGTTTATTTAATAAAAATATTATTTTAGGAGTCATCGATTTATAATTAGACCACGTCCTTCTGGATTTGAAAATGTTAATATTTACAATCTAAATGTTCGTGGCAAGCGAGGAAATATTGTCCAAGTATTTCCAGCAGTTGAATATGACTTTGTTCCAAATCGTCTTGTTGTATCAGCTTCAGATGCCGTGCATATACAGTAACTATATTTTTTCTTTAGAAATATGTATAAGATTTTATTTACCTAAATTTGTCATCATCAAAACAAAATTTATTTTGAAAAAATCTTTTTTGTTATGAGATACAAAACATAGTTGTGCAATGATAAAATATTAAATTTAAATATTTTGCAATTAACTTTATTTTTATGTAATTGTATTTACATTTATTCAAATTAAAATATTTGCAAATTAAAATATTATTTAATTATACATAAGTTAAATTATTATTTATTTTAGTAAACATTTTTAGATTTTTTTTATTACATTTTCAGATTTTTTCAGTTTTTCCTACAAAAGTTTTTTAGTTATTTTTTTAATAAAAAATGCCTAAATAGATAAATAAAAATTAAATGCTCACTCCCAACATGTTATTCATGTTGAAGAAAATGTTTTAATTGTTTTAAAAGTGTTTGATCTACCAAGAAAATATAGTTTTATTCTCATCCTGAATTTTTTCAGAATACACAAGTTTTTACAGATACGTTTAGTTTGGAAGAGTTTCCACATATAACGTTTTTTTTTTAAATAATTTTTATATATTTTTTTAAATTTTTTTATATTATCTAAAGATTCTTAAAAGATGTACTTTTTAATGCATGCTATTGATTTACAATTAAAATTTAAAAAATTACTTTTGTCACCAAAAGTAATTGGGTTACAACCTTGGATAAAGCAGGTTAATCTTTCCATTTTCTTTTTGCCTGGGAAAAGTAGCTTACGTTGAGCAATGTAATAACCGATTCCTGGTGTGATTCCTTTGTTTTTATATATTTCTGTGTACATGGATTTCTCTGATGCGCAGGAAAAACTTTTCTTATAAATAAATATTTTTCTTAAAACAAAAAATATATTTCTTAAAAAAATAAATTTATTTCTTGATCAAGATTACGGTAAGAAAAAGTTATTGTAAATTGTTTACCATAAAAGTAAATTCAATAGCATTTGGATTCTTAACTTTTTGTTACATATTTTTCATATATTTTTATAATTTTTTTTTTATCAGTTAAAGAATATTAAAATTAAAAAAAAAAAAAATTTTTTTATTCTTTTTAAAAAAAAATTTTAATATTCTAAATATTTAATATGTGACATAAATTGGGAAATAACAAATAGATTGTTTTTTGGTATTACTTTTGATTTATTTTTTTTCCTTTATAACATTTTGATAATCAAAATTACTATTTATCAAATTACTGCCATTGTATGTTATTTACATTGTATGTTATTTATTAACATAACATGTTAACTATTGCATTAGTTAATGATAAGTTTATCTTTATTTTATGTTAAATGTAAACTACATAAAAAAATACATACATCATGGTATTAATTTAGTAATATAAACCATTGAATAGATCAGAAACCATTAAGTAGATAGAACAAAATTTATAATGACAAAATGCAGTTTTATTAATTGCTACATACCATATACATTAGTAACACTTTAATGATTTAATTTTACCCCTGATAAGATTTTATATTCAATACAATTGTCGATTGCATTGTTTCTTGTGTAACCTTGCATATATTTTTCATTTTTGAAAAATATGTGCAAAGATATATTTCGATATAAATAAAATAATGAAATCGCGATGTTAAAATTTTCTTTAGAAAAGTAGATTGCAGTTGTAAAAGTAAATGTATTTTGAAAACTTTAGAATAAAACTAAAATGCAAACTTCTTCAAAAATGTCAATGTTAGGTTTTTAAATTCAATTAATTTTTTCAACATTTTTTCTAATATGAAGACAAAATGTGTTTGGAGTTCTTTGAATTGAATTTTTTGGTGTTGTTTTTAAATAATTATCTGTTGATAAAAATTATAAGTTTTTTTTTTTTTTTTTTTAAATGAATTTAATAACATTTTTTTGTATTTTATTTTTCTTACTTGCGTGTATTTTAATTTAACTACATATTTTTAATTCAACTAATTTTTAGTTCTATGTTTATTATATTTTTGTATTTATTCTTGAATCTTGATGATTAAATTTTTTACTGCAATGCACCACCAACAATAGTTATTCATTTTATCCGTTTTTATTTAATCCATTGTTCCACCGCGATGCATTAAATAAAAAAGTTTTGTCTTTGGCTCATTTTTATCTTTTAAAACTTTTTTATGAGATTCATCAAATTCAAATGTCTGCTACTTGTACCATTTTTTATGTTTTGATTTTTTTGAATAAATCATTCATATTATCTATATCTGTGAAATTAAGTTTGTTTTATATGATCTTTATTATATATATATATATATATATATTTTTAAAGGTGGACAGGATCTAATACGAATCCAAATGATAATGCTGGACAAGGCACAGCTGGAACTGATCGCTCAAACATTATTTTATTAAAAGATCAAAATTACCCAGAAGGCAATCTTGGGCAAGCAGTTCTACCTGCTTATAAGAATGGTCATTATGGAAATAACTATCCCATGCTTTTAAACACATCAAAAAGTTTCTTAGGACTTGGTTTGAATGATGCCACTCTGCTAGCTTTTTTAAATACTGGTACCTTTTATATTATATTAATTTCCAAAAAATAAGCAAAATTATGAAATATAAAAAAAAAACATTGTAATAATAAATGATTTTCATACATAGACTGTACTGCATTGTACATATATCAACTGAAGGGTTAGGTTGGGTCAGATACTATCTAGATATGAAACATTTATTATGGCAAAAAGTTTTTTTTGTATTCATTATTTTTTGTCTTTTTTTTTTTTAGATAACCGTCTGTATTTAAGATTTTAAAACTTAAGTCTGTAATGTATGTTATGACAGTTGGTATATATATATATATATATATATATATATATATATATATATATATATATATATATATATATATATATATATATATATATATATATATATATATATATATATATATATATGTATATATATGTATATATATATATATATATATATATATATATATATATATATATATATATATATATATATATACACACACACACAGACACACACACACACACACAGGCACACACACATATTTGTGGTAAAAAAATGGCTTTTAATGAGTCTGTGTTTTAATAAGAAAAATTTAATTATTAACTACAGTTTGTGTCAAAACCATTAAATTTAATTAAATAAACTAATTAAATTTTTTTGTTTTTTAAAATACCGAAAAAATGCAAATAACTTTCAAAATACTGTATATCCAATTAAAGCTTGTTAGCAAAATGCGGTATATCCATTTTATAAAGATGTTATGGAAAGTTTTTAAACTTTAAAAGACCTGAATAAGTTTTAATGATTAATTTTAGTTAACATATTGAACAAATATGTGTATTTAATGTTTGGTCATTATATTTTATTAAAGTAATGTAAACTATTACATTTCACAATTCGCAATTGTAAATTTATATTTGTTTCGGAGAGTTAAATATGGACAATAAGCAATAATATTTTTTTAGTGTTGTATAGTTGTAACAATGATGATCACTATTTTTAAGTCTCCATAGAACTAATGGACAATTAATATAACATAAAAGTCATCGTTATATTTTTGAACGAAATAAAATTTTAAAAATGAAATACTGCAATAGCCTCATTTTATTTGCAACAAAGCAATTGTTGGTTTAACAAAAAATAAAAAGGAAGTATTATTATTGAATGCTTTCCATTAAAAAACAGGTAACAAATATATTTAAACTTATTAATTTAAGCTGCCTTTTTAATATATTTTCTATCATTATTCCATTATTTGTTCAGTTAAACAAACAAAGCATGGTAGTTTAAACGAACACTAGAATTAAGAAATGCTTTTCTTTTCTTTTGTTTCATACATCATATCTTTTTTTCTATGTGAAATAGGATATTAGGTAACGCATTAATCTTGTCCATCGCAATCCGCCATTTCTTTAACGCAACTTTAAAATATTTGCGCTTGCGCAGAATTAATATACATTTGCCACGGATTGGTCAAAATTAAATACCGCATTTTGAAAACAAATAAAAAACAAATACCGCGTTTTGAAAATAAATGTTTTTTAGAAGTAAAAAAATATTGGATTATACTTCGTTTAGCATATATTCGGACACAATGTCTGCTAGGTCCTTATAAACTAAAAATAAACCACACAATTTCTAAAAAATTTTTAAAATGGCGTTTACCGCGTTTTGAAAATAAACTCTTCATATACATATATATATATATATATATATATATATATATATATATATATATATATATATATATATATATATATATATAATATATATATATATATATATATATATATATATATACATATACATTGCTTTACACAATTAATGTTGAGAAAGAGTTGGAACACTTTTATTAATAAAAAAATGTGAACTATAATGTATACAAATATGTTATATACTAGCTGAAATTGGCCCCGTAAAAATACGGGTCTTTGTATATCTATTCCAAACCAAACTTTTCTATACTTTTTCCTTATATATCCTAGCTTTCCGGATTCGTAAAATACAGGTCTTTACCATTTTATATATCTATTTCTAGCCAAAAGTTTCTATACCTTATTTACTTCAATATTTTTTAGTAAAATAATTTTTTTTGAAAAAAAAATTTGAGCAAATTACTTAACATGAGCACTTTTTACTCGTACGTAGAGCTTATAAGAGGCTTATTATTAGGTTTGTTTTTCTGCTAAATGCATTTCATTGATAGCGCAGTGGTTCAATGCGCTGTCATCAGTGTTGTTTTGGAGGGTTTAAGACCTCCTCTTAGCGTAATAAATTTTGAATTTTTTTCAATCTTGCTTATATATTTGTAGCAAAAAAAAAAAGAATATAGAAAAAAAGATTTCTATAATTTCTATAAAATTTCTAGAATTTAAAATAAAATTTTCAAGTTTTCTTATTTTATAGATATACGCGATTATTCCATAAAATGTCTGCAAACTTAAAATAAAGACGTTTACACTGACATAAATTTGTGCGTAATGCTATACAAATGAAATAAAGAAGATCTAAGAGCACTAAACCAAAGTCAAAAAAAATTAGTTCTTATGATTAAGAAATAAAGAGTAATATTAAACGCTTATCTAAAAGCTTAAACGCTTATAATAGAGTTTTAATAATAATAGAATTTATTAGAATAGAATTTTGGCTTATCTAAAAGTTAAGCCAAAATGATTTTGGGCATTGACGTCAGTTTGTGGCAAACCTAAACCTTTATGCGTCAAGTTTCCTTTTGCATTTATCTTAATTCCTTATGCATTTTTTTATTAATTTTTATTATGTTGCATACAAATGCATTAAAATATATAAAACTGGTACAGATATATCATTTTCACGGGTAAAAGATTGTATTTGTTACAATAGTAATAAATAGTTTTGGGACCATCCATAAAGGACATCATCATTTTTTAGCCAATTTTTGACCCCCTCACCCTTTGTCACCAGTTGTTCATTTTCCCTATACCTCTTAAAAAGGATTTCATAAAATCCTGCCCCCCCTCCCATTATTCAAACCCCCCAAAAATTATTTCATCTTGCAAAATAAAATTAAAAATATTCTCATACATTATCTTCTTAAAAACATATATTTACATGTTTAATTAATATGAAAAACATGTTTATTAAACTAAAATAAAAAATCAATAGATTTTTTATTTTATTTATAAAATAAAAGATCAATAGATTTTTTATTTTATTTATAAAATAAAAAATCAATAGATTTTTTATTTTAGTTTAATTAACATGTTTTTCATGTTAATTAAACTAAAATAAAAAATCTATTGAGTGACGTCCTTTTCTGACAAACTCCCCTCTTCCCCTTGTTTTTTTTTGTCCTTTTTATCTCGAACCCCTCCTGCCCTCCCTATTTGGATGACGTCCTTTTGTCTTTATTAGAATATATCCCATAAAAATGTATTCCATATATCTTTAATAGATAGAGTTTTTATAAAAAATTGTTTTTATTAAAAAATCTCTATGACTATCATTTTTAAAGATCTAAGAAGTAGGTGACATAACTTTAGAAATCAGAAATTATCAAGAAAGGATCAAATCTAAATTTGAAGTTTCAAATTTTCCACTCGGAAGTGACAATATGTTTCATATTTTTTTAATCTTGTCAATTTTTTAAAATATAATAACATAACTACAAAAAGTCGAAACAAAACAGCTTGAGCAAAATAGACATATTACATACGATCCTGAATAAAATGTTATATAAGTGGATTTTTTTACATTTTATAAATAATATATATAATCAAATAGCATATATGTTTATATATACATTGTTTATATAGAGATGGTTAAGCGCAACAAAGTTTAAAAAAAATTAGTTTATATTAAAATTAAAAAATGATTTATATAGCATTTCTTTGCAAAAACCAACGTATTATAATAAAATTTTTAAGTGGTGTAATAAAATTTTAAACTACAATTACTATATTCACTAAAATAAAAATTTTTACAATAATAAAATTTTTAAGCAATTATTTTTAATTTTTATGGTTTAGTGGCTTTTGTTAAGAGCTTTTAAATTTTGTGTCAAATTATCTAATTTTAACATATTCATTGTATCATCCATACTGCAGACGTTTTTTAAAACGCTTTAGGGTTAAAAATATCATTTTTGACTTTTTTACAAAATAAGTTAGTTTATGTCTACAAACGTTATTGAATACATATTTTAAATGAGTTCTGAAAAAATTCATTAAAATTGTTCGTTTCAAAAAACCTTTAACAAAGAGTTAATTTTTAATAATTTCTTTTTTAATTGCGTTTTTCTCGAAATATGTAATAAGCATATTAAGACGTTTTGAAAAACAGCTATAAACATTTAAAAATATTTATAGTAAAAAAATTAATGTCGCAAAAAAAGCTTTTCATTGTCAAAAGAAAGTTTTAAATTTTTTTCTAGCTATGGCTTTTTTTTTTTTTTTTTTTTGCCTCTACAGCAGCACCTTCTTGAGTAGCAGAACTTTCTTATTTATTTAATATAGTTTTTTCTTTATTAAGTTTCAGACAACTTTTTTTATACCATCCTCAGCTTATTTGAACTAATTACCTGAGCACATTAATAACATAAGTGTTTCAATCATCATACATACGCAACATATTTTTTCTCCCGGTGATGTTTTTTTTGTTGTTGATGTTTTATGAAATTTTAGCTTTCTTAAAAAGTGTATAATATCGTTACGTTACATATGTTTGTATATAATCATTATAAAACTTCAAAATTATTTTGTATTTTAAAACCATCAAAAAAAAAATTAAAAAAAGAAGCCGCCATTGGTAGGAATCGAACCTCGGCTTACTTGTTCAGAAGCTCGGCGCCTTATCCACTCAGCCACACTGGCACATACTCAAGCCAATATTTTATAAACAATGTAATGATTTTTTTAAGGGAAAAAATGTTATAGATCAAAATTAAGGAGAGCTTGACCCAATGCAATTTTCAAGTGAAAATCAAACTGTAAAACTTGATAAATGTTTCAATGTGTTTTAACATATGTTTTAACATTACTTGATTTAAAGTTTAT